AATCTTAAAATATCAAGCTTTCATAAAATTGCAGATAATATTGATGATAAAAATTTGAAAACCCATGGAGTTAATCCTTTCTTTAATTATTTTTATCATCATTAAGAGATCAAAAAACCAAAACCTCTATTTAGCAACTCAATTGAGCATATCTAAAAAAAAAAAAAAAAGAAAAAAAAATTTTTTTCGTTTTATACACACCCTGCCAAAAGTCCCCGTCAAAAGTGACCAATGATAAATTTTATAAAAAAAAAAAATTTTATATATTAGGTTATTTCAATATATATAAAAAAAAGTTTTTTATTATACCGAAAGTGTGAGATGTATCACAGTTTATTATTTTTTTTGTATCCCGAACCACAAAAAAAAAAAAAAAAAGAATTCCTCTCTCGAAGAAAACGGAGAGATCTACATGGAATATTTATGAAAATAGCGTTATAATAAAGCAATATAAATAAAAATTTCTTTAGATTAAACCGAAATATTATAAATACCTCAAAAATAATTTTAATACAATCAAAAATTTTATAATAAATTTTCAAATAAAACTCCAAAATACATTAACTTTGAAATAAAATACCTTATGTCAAGCCAAATTCAACAACGGGAACTTAAATTTTTTCATACATCAAAACATAAGATTTATCATATAACGTGTCAATTGATTTCAAAAGATTTTACTCCCTCGAATGATTTCGATCATTATTTTTTTTACCTAAATTTTGGAGCAAATTATTTCGTTACCTGTAAATTTTATTCACAACTTTTAGCCACCGATGTATTAAATAATTTAGTTTATGGCATAAGAATTGATGTAGAAAACGTAAAACGAAATAATAATTCATTATCTATGAATCAAAAGGAGAATCTTGAAAATGAACTCAAGGAAATTCTACCATCACGCTTTTATGGAACGAGATCAAATTATGATGAAAATATGAGTCAAACTTATGAAGGAGATAGTGAATGCTCTGACTGTTTTGAAGATGACTCATCATCTTTTAATACTGAAGATGAAATGAGATCAAATTATGATGAAAATATGAGCCAAACTTATGACGGAGATAGTGAATTCTCTGAAGGTGATGACTATTTTGAAAATGATTCATCATCATATATTACCGAAGATGAAATGAGATCAAATTTTGATGAAACCACAAACCAAATCTTTTATGGAAATGATGAATGTTCCCCTACTGAAGAAATGAGATCTAATGCTGATGGAAATGTCGGAGATACGAATCAAACCTATGACGGAAATGACGAAGTTAACTCTTTTGATTTTATGAATTATTTTCCGTATCAAGTTGAAAATATTCATAATGACGCTCTTCCGTATATGCTCTTTCATGGTGATTTATTTGAACTTACCCCACATTCACATAATGCGTCACCGCAGCAAGAAATCAACAGTCCCCAATACTTTATTTAAATTCTCCATTAGATTAGTTTTTTATTTTTTTTTTTTTTTTTTTTTTTTTTTATGAACAACTTTATTTTAATTTCATTTTTTTTAAATGCAATTCAAACTTTATAATGCTGGCAATTATAAAATATATAAAAGAAATGATGGCCGTCGATCAAAAATTAAGTAGGATTATTGTTATAGTCATTAAAACGATCTCTGAAACGGTAGCATAATTCGCGACAATCATTTCCTCCTTTTCAAAAGATTCTGAAAGAATTTGACATTTTGAACGAAAAAAGAAGGATATAAATTATCAGTTGATAAAAGTATTTTAAAATTAAAGATAACCCAATCAGGGTGACGCGGCGAACTTTTTTTTTTTCTTATCACGTATTTGTGATCTCTAATAATTGTTAGGGTGGATAATTAGTTTTTCCTCGATTGTTTGAAAACATTCTTTGTTTTTAATTTTATTATGATTAGACATTTTGTAAAACGAATTAGATTTCATTATCATCAATCAAGTGAGATTTGGTAAAAAAAGATTTATAAAATTAAAATTTTGCAAAATTCATGTTTATTCAATAACGGTTACACCAATTAAAGTGTATAATGCATCTTTAAAGCCAAAAAACAGTATGTTTAATTAAAATTTTGTATGACATTCTTTCACCAATTTTTTTCGATAACCAACTTACAACGCTGTGGCATTGAGTTTACAAGAATAATTAGAAGGCTATCTGGGAATTTCCCATTCCTCCCCAAAAAACACTCCAAAGTTTTCAATG